GATGGGTCGCTCGCCGGGGCAAGGCCGCACACTGCACAGGCTTCGTATGCTCCCGCAGCTCCCGGCGAAGTTGAAAGCGGCGGTTGGAGGAGCTCTTCGTCGTTGCGGTTTCATAGCCCAGATCGTTGGCGTCCATGACACCCGCGGTTGTGTCGACAAAGTCGCGGCGCGAGACGGCCTCGCGCAGCTCGCGAATGCCCACTGGGGTCTCAAGGGTGATGCCCTTCGATGCCAGTTTGCTGACCGCGATGTCGAGGAGGGCGCTCAGGTGGTACAGCTGCTTCCGCAGCGTGCGGTTTTCGTGACAGGCCTCCGCCAACTGCTTCTGCAGCTGTATGTTTTCGTGACGCACCGTCGCCACAAGCTGGGCGGAGGAGGACGCAACTAAATTGTCGCCCATCGCTTCTGCCCCCCACCCCACCCCCCCCACCCCACGCCGCGCCTAAAACCTCGCAGCAGCGAGGGAAATGTCTAAAGAAGCTATACCTACTCACACACACACGACGCCAATAAACGAGGAGGGAACTCCAAGAGAATTAATCGCAGAATTTAAAAAAAGGGGGTAAAAAAAAGAGGAGGCACGGAATTGCGGTCCACAAAGCGGGGAAGAGCCAAATTAGGAACAAGCAAAATACAAGGAGACAGGTGCCAACAAAAATTAAAAAAAAACAGAACAAAGAGAACAAAGAAAACGATAGTCCTGCTTTCTAAAGGCATCTATGAAAGCATAGGTGTGAATGCGCGGGTAGTGAGGCACAAAGTGTTCCAGATAAATTCATTTCCGCGGGGCCTGGGCACACAACGACGTTACGCCGACCACGAATCCACCACGTATCGACCTTGCTTCCGAAGCTGTTTCATGTATTCCTGGCCTCGCACCTCGTCACCGCCGCAGCAGCACTGAGTGACAATGTCTTCAAAGGTCAGTGCGACATCTTTGGGCATCGGAGTGGAATTGCCGCATACGTAAATGCAAGCACCTTCGTCCAGCAAGGCCGCCACACGCCTTGCGTGACGACCGAGCTGGTGTTGCACATAAAATTTTTTGTCTCCATCCCTGGAGAAGGCAGGCAACACCTTCAACTGCTTCAGGCGATCCCGGCTCAACTCCTTCCACTCGTCCGCGTAAAGGTAGTCCTTTCCTTCGTGGCGACAGCCAAAGACAAGTAATATAGGAACATCGCCCCAGACACTTGTGGAGGCCGCACACTCACGAATAAGCGAACGCAAAGGCGCAATGCCCGTCCCTGTGCCCACGCAGATCAAAGGTGTTGGCTTGGACGGCACAGGCAAGGAACCACGCCAGAGAAAGCATGTAAACACATCTCCAGCGACAGCAGCGGCGAGGTAAGAGCTGCACATTCCTTTGCGGCTGCGTTTCAGGGGCGTTTGCCACGATAGCTCGGCCACTGTAAGGTGAATCTCAGCGAGATCGAGGGAGGGCGCGGAAGAGATGGAAAAAAGACGGGGCCGCATCAGCGGCACGAAGCTAAGTAAAACGGAAAGCGGTGGCCGAACGGTGCGAAAGTCGGTTAACACCTCCACAACATTTCGCTTCTCTCGATGCGAATACGACATGAAGTCATCCAAGTTGTCCGATGAGGCCAACTCAAACAACCGCTCCCGCACCTCCTCCTCTCGCGCAAAGCGGGCCAACATGCCAAAAAAGGTCGGCCCGCCACGGCCTCCAGGTCGACGTAGTGCTTCAGAAAGGTCCGAAGCCTCATCGAGCGTCCAAAAAACATCTGGTGACGCTGTTGAAGAAGACCCTCAGACGTGTTCGGAGTCACGCAAACCATCACCTCGCCACTCTGCTGCGTTTGCGCAAGAAATGCGTCGATCATACTCTCACTATTGGCGCAGTAAATACCCAACGCATCGCCCACCTCAAAGGAGAGCGGCCCACGCCGCGCGACATCCCCTTCAAAGCGCGTGACTTCTCGGGAGAAAACCACATGATGAATTGCCTGAAAGTACCCTTTTGGTGTAAGACGGACATTTTGCTTCACAACACAGTTAAATGTCTCCTGGTTGTGAAGCGCCTTCTGGGAAAGTGCATCGGTTTCCACAGAGACTTCGGCAAGGGAGACATTATAGCGTGTAAGAAGGGGAACCTTTAAAAGATCCTCCGTGAGTTCACCATGTTCGTCTAAAGTTGGCCGTCCCAGTGCCCTCCAAAGCTGCACAATCCAAGGGAAAAAGGCCTCATCATGCCCCTTTGCGTCACTTTCGTCGCCAAGGCCGCGGTTAACGATAGGCTCGCCCCCCAATTGCTTCAGACGATTGTGAAGCATCTTCGCCATGTAGTTAAATTTCTGATACAAGGAGTCACCTGCGCCAAATACTGCGAAGCGCAACCCTTCCATGGAGGGTGCTGCCGGTTCCAAAAGCCTCGCCCACGAGACTCGAATGGAATCGGGCGCCTCCCCCTGACTGGCATTGGAGCAAATGATCACCAGCGGAGATGAGTCCTTCCACGACTCAAGAGAAAATTCGTCGGCAGGCAGGCACCGACAGTACTGGAATCCTCGCTTCAAAGCCAAAGAGGTGAGGGTAAACGCCAGATGCTCAGCACAGCCAGACTGTGTCCCATAGAGAACAGTTAGCAACTCCGCCTCCGGTTCAGCTCCCTCCCGCATCAGACTTGTCATTTTGATGCCTTTACCACTTGGTTTCGTTCCCTTTCACTATGAAAATAAGGCGTGTGTGTGCATGTGTGTGTGTGTGTGTGTGTAAAGTACAGACGCAGCACGTGTCACGTTGGGACAAGCACACCGTGAGACCAAGCGGAGCACAAGTTATCAGAGCTTCCTCCCCCTCATTCTTTCGTGGGAGGAAAGAAGAGAAAAAAAAAGGTCAAAGTTCATAGCTTTTCACTTCTATTTTTTACTTTTTCCTCTGTTTTGGTATTCCTCCCTCATCTTCCAGAGTTGTTGTTTGTTTTTTTTTTTGTAGGGTGTATGCCCTCAATCAAGTCAGAAGCAATTTTTTCACTTCATGCAGAACTGTCGCGTTGCTTGTCAGCCGCGCGCGCATCTCGCTATGCTTTCCGAAGAGGCGCGTGACAACCACATGCAACTTCGTGTTGGCCTCCACCACGCCCTGCGTGTACTCCTTGAGGATAAGCTCCTCTAGCTCCTTGCTGGAGTCCAACGCAGCCTCGTCCTGCACCGCCGCCGCCGCGTTTGTGAAGGTCCAGCTGACAACTCGCCGCACAAGTGTGCAGGTCTCTGACAACTGCATCTGCCAACTCTGGCTGAAGTCGGAAACCGCCTGCAGCGTTGCGGCCTCGCTCAGAGCAGCTGGCAGTGCGTCTGAGGGGAGTTCCAGCGGAACTTCATCGGTAAAAAAGGCACTTCCCAACGCGGCCTCGGCGACCTGGACGAAGTCAAACAAGTAACCATAGATTCCGCCTGCCTTTGAGTCTTCTTCCACAAAACGCGCCAGCTCATTGGAAATCCGGCTACTGATGCAGCCAACATGCGCAGGTGGCGCAGCACATGGCAACTGCTCCACCGCCACTACAGAGGCTAAAATACTAGCCAGTCGACGCCAATATGCCTGTATGTAAAAATAATTGTTAAGAGCAAACATGCGCTGCGCCAATGAGCTCTTGTGTCGTTTTGCAAGTGTAGCGATAAACCCAAGGACATTTTCGAGTTCACGGTAAAGAGCATTAGCGACGACGGAATCATACAGCAAAAGATCCACACCGTTCACCATGGATCCCTCAAGAGAGGCGGAGTTCAGGAGCTCCATTTCCCCTGCAATCTGACTGAACCGTCGCACGATGGGGTGGGGACCGAGTGTGGCGGCGTACTGACGGTCCTCCAGAAGTTTGCTCAAGCTCACTTTACTACCGCCCAGCACAAGCTGAAAGGGCGACAATCGCAATGACGTTAGAAACAGAGTTGATCTCTCGTCATTTGCCACAACGCTGTGCAGTGTGCCGGACAATATTCTTTTAGCAGACTCCATGATGCCGCTAAGAAGAAGAAGAGGGACGGGATTCGGCAAACGACAAAGAAACGTTTTGGCAATGTCAACAATGCGAAGACCAGCAAGGGTACTTTGACGGTCTGTCAACAGCGGCAGATCCTCCAGAATGCTATTTTGGGCGACGTCGAGTGCGCTCGACAGCACGACACGCACGAGCGCCTCCGTCCCGTCGTAATCGTCCTCCGTTGCAGAGAGGCAAAAGAACTGACGGATGAACTGGCATTCTGAGATGCAAAGTTTAACGAGCAGGTGCATGCAGCGAAGAAAATGGCATGACCAATTACCCGCGTTTTCCAGTGGAAGCGCCGCGGCCGCTTCCAGGGAAAAGGATTCGTTTCGAACCCGTATTGTGCCCAACGCCGAGACTGTATCGTAAATTGTCGTCTCCCGAATAATCATGGATCGTTCAGATTTCAGCATGCGACCCGCAAAATTACGCATGTGCTGTGAAACACTGCGCTCACGGCGCGGAAACGGATGCACGGGAAATCTTAGCGCCTGTGGCGCCACCGTAACATGGTTTCCTTTGGGAGCACCGGAGTCCCGATTGCACACCACATCATGCGCGTCATCCGCCGTGACGATGGTGTCAATGCTACCGGCATTCACCACACACAGTTCACCAAAATCGTGCAACACAGCACGAACATGGCGAGCAAAAGCGTCAGACATGCGTTTTGCGTATTCTTGAGAAATCGCCTCGGCAATAGGTTGATGGTATTTCTTTAGGAACTTGATGGCATTTTGAGCTGTTTCCACCAATGACCGCTGCTGGCTCCCAACGCTAGCCAGATCGTCTGCCGCAGCCAGTGCAACAAATTCTTTGCTAAAATATCGCTGCAGCTTATCACCAGCTCGCACAGCGGCTGCGTGTAAACGTGGTCGTGTTTCCAAGTCCACTGCCGACCCCTCCAGCTCTTTATTCGACAAGAAGAAGGTCAACTGCCTCTCCAACTCCGAGATGTTTTCCAAGTAACTCAAATCCACCTCCTTCTGGGCAATAGCACCACAAAAGGCATCACACTCCCGCAAGGCGGTGTAAACCTCGCTCAGCCTGCTGCTGCAGAGGCGGCGATTGTTGATGCTACGCACAAGGGACACGGTATGTTGCTGCATCTTTACCATGTCTTCTGCGGAATCGGCTAAACGACGCTGAAAAGCAATAATTTCCTCTTCAAACTCTACCAACTTATTCTCACACTCCACAATTTCCATGTACAGGGTACAGATGCTCTCTGCCTCATCTACATGGGCGGCAATGAAGTCCTCACGCAGCGCAGAAAGCTCCGTCTCGTGTCGCACCAGAACACTGTGCAGGTCCACCCCCCCGTTGAGGTGTGCTGTGATGGCGGCCTGCTCGTCATCGGAGCTGCACCGCATGAGCTCATCAATCGCGTCGAAACGGAGCATCATGCGTTCCGCATTTTCCTTCACCGACAGCTGGCCATTGTCGGTAGTCAGTTGCTCCATCAGCTGGTTTTCCCGAGCGAGAGCGGGGCGGCAAGACTACGGCGACACCTATATTGCTCCTTCTCCTCCGCCTCGTATCCCGCGTTCCAGCTGCAACATGCTGGCCAGGAGGTAAGGGGAGACAGAGCGGCACAGAAAGAATGCGGTGAGGCAAGACGGCAACAGAGAAGACCCGAATAACATGAAATGAAGACGGCACAATAAAAGACTGGAGCAACTAAAACCAAGGAAGAAACAGATATAAATGTGTGTGTATATATATATAAAGAAAAATTGGGTAAAGAGAAACAAAAACACCACATTGATGTCTACTAGCAGGTTCTTTGCCGCTCACATAAACTCCAGAGGCATCCCGGCACTTCATGCTTCTAAGTATTCTCCCTTTCTGTTTGTTTATTTAGTTTTCTTTTCTTTTCCTGGGCTTTGAAGGTCCAAGAGAATCACTCTGCTGTAAGCAGGCGAGTACCCCCCCCCCCCCAAAAAAAAAAAGAAAAAAAAAACGGGAACCCAGCATAATATTACTGTTCAAAGGACACTCCTTTCAAGGCACTCTGAAATACGTCCGGCAACGGTGGCGTTTGCGCAGTAGTAGTAAAACACCTCCCCCTGTTCACGGGGATAAATGGGAGGTGCCGGTGGAGCATCGGCTTCGCGCATTGGGGTCGCCCTCGCCTCCACACCTCTGTTCGTCATCGCCACCTTCGACGGGTGGCCATCTCCTGCTGCCACCTCCGCCGATTTGCCTTTGGCAACGGTTCCATCGGTTAAGACAGCAGCACAAGGAGAGCCACCCGGCACTCTTCGCTCCAGCAGCTTCCGCGCCTCTCCTCGTGCTGCGTGTTCTAGTTGCTCCATGGGGGTCACTGCAGCATCGCTTCCGGAGTGTGCAGTCCACATCTTGGCAGCCACCGTGTTGCCGTTAGACTGCGACGAGGCCTGCAAGACGCCCTGCTCAGGTGCATTCGGAGAGCCCGATTCACAACGAGACGAGCAGAGCACACTGTTGCCCTCAACATGCGCCCTCCGTCGTCGCTCAAAGACCTCCTCCGCAATTAACTGACGACGGATCTCTTGCGCCTGGAGAAGCACTTCGCTACGATCAGCCACATGACGCACGTAATTTTTATAGGCCTGGATTTTTTGCTGCGTAGTACCCGCGTCAATCCCCACCTCGGCGCAGGCATTCAATGCCTCTTGGGTCGTGACTTGAGTGGGAGCGTTGGTGTCAACCCAACGTGCACCGCTCATCACATCTTCAACGTGCTGACGCAGGGTGGGAAGCTCTAGAGCCGTGGTGGGAACGATGCCACACAGTGCGCATGCACGCAAGGAATGGGGAGAGTTCAGCTTCGGTGGATCTATAAAAATGTGTTCATTGTGGTAAGCCTCAGTCTTGAGCTGCCAGTGGTTCTGGCACTGCTCCAGGTTATCTAGATTGATCAGCGCCTTCATTAACGCCTTTGCTTCCCACTGACAATGGGAAAATGTAAAAGAAGAAGGAAAGCGAGGGACAACTAAACACCTTTCTCCACCCTCCACACCAAGTAGACACACACAGAAATATATATATATATATACATATAAAGAGAGGGTGAGAAGCTACGGCTTCGGGCGACGTAAAAAGTTTTCCAGGCGGCAATTTCGCAGTCGCACATAGACGTTCATTTGCAGCTTCTCGTTATACGTGTAGCGTGTCCCTAGCTGGCTTGGAAATTCCGTATTCCCATACATTTTACTGCCTGCAAACCCGCTGTGATGCATCTGCTGCCCCCACGCCTCGCAAGAATGGGGCGGGTGGGTGGGTGAATAGATGGACTCGACGGCGGCGCACGGAACTCCCCCCGCTACCGCCATGTTGTTTTTTCTTGTTTCTCTCCCTTTATTGGTGTATATGCACCCGTTTATGCGAAGCTTATTTCTTTCTTTTTGCTTTCTAACATTCTCCTTCGTCACATTACGCCCCCTGTTCGACGGCCACAGCTCTGAAAATTTAAGTTGTAAGTGCGGGGGCAACACCACGAGGAAACCAGCAACGACAGCACACACAAAAAAAAAAAACGACGCGTGGAACACGATGCCGCAGACTGCGGCGCATTGCGCCAGGAACTGCGCATGTCACCCCCCCCGCATCAAATCCCGTTTGTTTTTTCTCTTTTTTCTCTTTGGTTTCTCCGCACGAAGTCCACCTCGACCTTCCGTCCTCGCGCCGCTGCCTCCTCGCTGCGGCGAACTTCCAGAGAGAGGAAAGAGGATCAAGGGGAAACAGTGGCCCCCAAGAAAAGGCAAAAAAAGAAAAGAAAAAAAAGGATAAAACAATTCAAGGAAAAAAAACCGACCTAGCTTCTGGAGCTTGCAGTACTTTGCAGTTCGCAAGCATCCATCATGGAGAGTATGCTTTGGTAGGCAGCGTGGGTGATCTGCATGAGGGTGCTTTCCTTCACGACACGGCAGCTAAATGTTGGAACGTACAAGTCCGTTGTAAGCGCCTCCGCGGCGACAAGGGACCAGCTTGGGAGCTCCAGCTTGATCTCCTCCTTCCCGGCAAACACCTCCAGCTTGCCAGTGATGAGCAGCGTAAAAGTGTCGGAGGGCACCCCAATGCGATACAGCCAAATATTTGCCTTGTCCTCTTGCTCAAGTCCACGTGCATCTACCGGGGGACGAACCTTATAAAAGGTTCCGTGCGTACTGATGGCCTGAATCAACAACGGAACTGCATCCCGCGTATGACGCTGAAGAAGCGGAATGGACTCGTACAGAAACAACGCCGACGCCTTCAACTGATTTGCGCTTGCATTTACCCGACGTGAGCACTTTGGGGTTAATCCCACCTGTCGTTTGGTGGGAATTTGAGGTCCAGGGTGGGCGGGTTGTGGATCCACGTCGTACTCATCAAATATTTCACTATGAATAAGTTCCTCGATTACATCCTCCATTGTGACAAGCCCCTTCACCTCATAGTATGGATCTCCATACGGCCGCTGTTGTACTTCCTGTACCAAGGCGATATGGGACCTGCCTGTTTGGAAGTACTTCAGCATGGAGATGAGCTTCGTCTCTGAAGGGACAATGTGACAACGCCGATTATAAAATTTCACCAGTAGCATCACAGGTGTATTCTCGCGCGGGTCAATCATTAAAAGATCCTTCGCAAAGAGGACGCCGATAATATTATTTTTGCTCCGCTGATACACGGGAATACGACTATGACCGCGTTCAGAGATGAGTTGAATCACCTCCTCACTCACTGGTTCACTAGCCTCAAGCATGAGAACCTCAGAAATGGGCGTCAGCACGTCCATCACCGTCTTCTCATGGAGTTCCATTGCACCCACCATGAGGTCCACCTCTCTCTCCCCCAAACCCGACTCTGACCCGTGAGCGGCGTGCATGAACATTAGCTTTTTGAGTTCATTGCGCTCGTAAATTTGTCCAGGGTCGGTGCCAATGAAATGGTCAAGCACCACACTAAGGGGCTTGCATATAGGGTAGAAGAGTAAGACAAAAAACTTTACAATATAAATACTTTTAGCCCCAACTTGCAGGGCGTGGGCAGACATCAGAGCCTGTGGAATGACTTCCCCGCCAACCGTTGTCAGCGCCGTCGAGACAATGGTCGCCACCCATCCATGAATGTGCGAATCTGTGATCTGCGCAATCAGCGTGTTCACCATAACGTTGCCTAGAATCAGCGTGCAGAGCAGCTGATTACCAAGTCGGCGTATGGGCAAAATCCTGCCAGCATAGGTCCTGTCCGGCTCCGAACCACTATCCGCAATAATCTCGAGAGAAAGTGTATCGAGGCCCATGATGGCGAGCGTTAAACCCGCAAAAAGGGCGGCAAAGAGAAGGAGGACAGAATCTGCGAGGATCAAATAGGCCCACTGCATTTTGTCCATGGGCTCTTCCTCACTCACCTCCCTTGCAGCACTTGCCGCCGCCGCCGTTTGCGTTGCACAGGCAACCGCTGCTGCAGCAACAGTAATGAGCCTCAACGCCGTGCCCTTTGGCCGCACCGGCGCGCGCGCAGACATTCTTGCTGCCCCCGCAGGGCACGAATACGACGCTGAATTTATTATTGTTATTAGAACCGCACACATTCGCCCCCTACCACGACGACACGTAGCGGCAAGACAAGGAAAGGAATTAGGAGAAGGGAAGAAGAAGGGAATGATAAAAAAAAAAAAAGGGAGCCCACACACACGAAACCCTCACCCCCACACTAAACAAACGAATAGGCGAGGCGGCGGGGACAGTTCCGAGAGAAACAAGGAAGCACAGCTGAAGAAACCAGAAACAAAAAAAAAAAACAACTCCCCCATGACCCTTCACCTTTTCCCCTGTCGCACCCCACCAAACCGACATTAGTCCAAAAAAAAAACCAGAATTGCAAAGAACTGTGACGACGCCTTGAATTACTGGAGAAAACAAATATATATATATTAACTATGCCTCCTTCCCCTTAATTACTTCTTCATGGTGTTGCGGAGCAACTCCTCCATTAAGTCCCGTGTCTTCTTCAGCAAAACGGCATTTGCCGCGTGAGCCTCTCGTCCGCTTCCTTTGCGGGGTGAGAGCTGACTTTCGCACGAAATCTCACGTGTGAGACGGCTGATGAGTTCTCCCTCGGTCTCCACCTCCTCCACATGCCGGCTATGCGACACCTCCACTGGGGAAGCCGAAGTAGCGGAAGAGGGTGTGTGAGGTGCAGCGACTGAGCCGCGTCGGGCTGAACCTGTCGAATGTGAAATAGTAAACGGTGGGGGAAGTGGCCGAGGTCCACGTCGATCACTGCGAAAGTGCTTTTCACGACCTGGCGCAGCGTCTGGCGGGGACAAAAGAAAACGTGACTCGTCCCGCACGGGAACAGCCGTGACATCGTTGTGCAGAGGGCTCTCCTTGGCTAAACGCGGGGCCGCTGCGGGCGTCGTCGCTGCAGGTGTGGCTGGCACGACACCGGCGTCATCAGCAGCAAACATGGCACTGAAGACTTCCTCATCATCCACCTCCTCCTTCTTCACCGCCTCTGTGTCGGGGTCTGGAAGCACTGCCTTTGCCTCCCACTCTTCCTCTGTATTTTGCTGGCCCACGCGTTGGGCATCAGAAACTGCACCCGACGCTTCCACGATATCCTCCCCCACCCCCACCTCTACCTCCCTCTTACTTGGCTTTGCCTCGATGGGCTGGCGCTCCTCCGGCGCGTCCTCGCCTGCGGCGGCCGTAGAGAAAGCCGGGGTTGAGTGGAGGTCCAAAATACAGACCTCGGGCCCGTAGAGCGAGGAAAGATGCTGCAGAAGTATTTGACGCGACTGGGACTGGGCTGCCGCCTCACGAGGCACCAACCCGTAGCGCTTGATGCGCAGCTCAAGATTTCGCATCTGCCACGCCTCAGCGTCATCCGCCGTCAACAGCTGCCGCAACACGTCCATGTCAAGACGGTAACCCTCCGATTCGTGAAGCGTCAAAAGACGAGAGGCACAAAGCGCGGCCAACAAGGCCGTTGGTGTGCTCGGCGCCACCGCAACACCCAGCCGTGCGAGCAGATGCCGGCAGTACGCCACCGACACCGTCGACGGTGGTCGAACAGGAAGACCAACGAACAAAGCCCACTTCCAGAGGCTGCAAACCAGCTGCGCCTCCACCTTTAGGTGGTGGCGCAGAAACGACATCACACGCCTACCACCCTCTGAGCCCCACTCCCCCATATGGGGTGAGTCGATGAGCAGGATTTTAATAAACTGGGGCGACGTCAGCGCATGAACGACTTCCGTGGGGAGCCCGCCCGCAGAAACGCCCGCGACGCTCAAACGATGAAGAGAGGAAACAGCACCAGTAAAGGTGATTACGTCACCAGGAATCGTTGCGACGGCGAGTTTCCACTGGTCCTGGTCAGCCTCCAACACGAAATGCAACCCCAGCAGTTTTTCTTGTGACATTTGACGCAGCATCGCAGCAGCCTTGCCCGAAGCACAGTACGGCAGTGGTGCGTGAAGAAACTGGCGTACGTGCCGCTGGTGCCTGCTTCGCGCGTCAATTTCAGTGACAACATCGCCTGCTGAAGGAAATGAGACGTAGAGAAAATTTGGCGCCCCACGGTTGGCGTGTAAAAAATCGGGATGAAGTCTCATGCCATCCGCTGTTTCACGCTGCAGCGCGAACTGCACATCAGGGTGATCCGTCAGCGCAGAGGCGTCAGGGAAGCGCGAGAGAAACCGTGGACCAAACTTGCTGTGAAAGACACCGCGAACCTCCACAAAGTGGGACCTGTAGACGGCTTGCACGCGACGTTCCGGGACGATAAAGGTTGGTAGCAGCAAGACCAAGGCGTTCAAGGCGTCATGCAACAACTCCGGCTGTGACTTTAGACTGTAGAGATCATCGGCTCTTGAGCAACCGCTTGCAAGGGCGGACAAGCGGACAACGCGGTAATCCTCCGACCACTCCAGCAGGGATGCAAGAGGCGGGTGTGTGAGCTGCTGCCACCGCAGCAACTCGCCCCCGACACCACGGTTTAGCCTCAACTGCAGCTGATCCCGAACGAGGGCCGAGGCAACAAAGTACGAGGGCACAACATCGCGCAGTTCCAACTTCATCAGGTGTGAATTCGCACCACCATCTGCAGGTCCTTCTTCGGCGTGCCTCTCTGCACCGTTGCAGCTGCGAGACTCCAATGGCACCCAGGGCTGCCAAGACACCAGCATGTCCTCTTCACCCTCGTCCAACACCGACCTCTTGACAGAAAGAAGCAAAGGGGACAACTGCATCAGCGCGCTTCGAAACGATTCGGATGAAATTTTCTGCGGCATCATGCCTGTCCGCACGGCCTCACGCCAAATAGCGGCTGCTGATCGTGGCTGCGCAGGCACCAGGCGAAGCACATGCTGCGGAGCCAAGTACGGGCACGGAGGACACGGAAGGGCCGAGAGATATTGTCGCATGACCTCCTGCATGTCAACAGCAGCAACAGGCCCCCGCTGCCCACGTCGTCCCATGCGCTGCATGAACCACCGCCAACAGTGCAACATCCCACACTCGTGGCGACAGTAGTAGGAGCCCTAAACGCGCAAGAGACACGAAACTAAAGCCGGAACTCTTTGCCCTTCTCACACGCAGAGAAGGGGGGGAAAAAAATAGAGAAGGAAGCAGAAACACTGTGCCTGGATGAGGCCCTGCCACGCATTCACACAATAAAAAAAAACAGGACAATATTATAGGAGAAGACGCTTTGGTTGCATTTGCATCCCACATACCTCCCAATTCAGAGAAGCGGCGCACATCTTTAGTACATCAAGAAAACAAGAAGCTCCTAAAGGCACATATGCCACGATAAAACTGTGTAATTGACTTATTTTTGTTTTTCTTTTCTTTTACTGAAGGCATAAAGCAAAAGCCCGCTGGAACCCCACGCAACTGCCGGACTCCCTCTGCGCGGAACTTATCAGTAAAAGTAGGCGCGGTAAAGGTGGAATGACAGAAGACAAAAAAAAAAAAACGAAGAAAAAACAACAACAACAACCCGTCATTAAAGCCTCAGGGAAGGCCAACAAAGCCTTCATTCGGTTGCCTAGATGCACCTGGTCGCACATTCATGCCGAGGCCCTGCCGACGAAACAAAACAAATGAATAAATTAAGTAGTAGTAGAGAGGAAACAGGAGCAACAACGGAGGCACAAAAAGCATCCTGCGACAACAAATTC